TCTTCCGCTGACTGGGATTTATAAAGTGAATTCTGCGCAGGTTCTGGCGTACGCACGGTTTTATAAGTTTAAATATTTTTTTTGCGTATGCCATTTTTGGCTTTCGGGCGCACGTACACTTTTAGTAAGGATCCTACACACAGTTTTAGAAATGAGACCCCATGTCTTACAATGAATGATCCCTGCACATTATTAAAGAAATGTCTTTGTAAACTTTCATTAAAGGTTTCTCCACCTCTGAAACCTTTTTCTGTCCTGGATGACATCATATCCTCTCCTCAAACCATCGGACTCAATGCTTTATCTCACAATCCAATCAATTACTGATGGATAAAATCTAGTATTTTCTCATTAATCATCCTTCTTCACTCTGAAATGCACCACATTATGAAAGCAGACTGTTATGTTGACTTTACAAATCTCTTTTTTGCTGGTTCTGCTCTATTTCACTCACCTCCATGTTGAAAGAGTGTAGCACTTTAACAACATGTAGATGTTCACACAATCTCGCAGCAACGGAAAGCCATTAAACAGACCATATTTTCTCAACTCTCCTCCACTTTTAAGTCTGTGGAGCCGTTAACAGGGTCCACTACTGGGACGTCTTCCAACAAAAACCTCTTCTCACATATCTGGATTCCCCAAAGGATTGGCCTTGGCCAATGCAAATACCCCAAAAAACATTTAAACAGAAACCTGGGCCTCTCAACACACGATAGACAACAATGTCATCCAATCTAGGCAAAAGGGCTTCATAACTAGGAGGGGTGTTGAAACACAACCTCCACAAAAGACTAAACTAAGAAGAGTCTGGCTCTGTCCCAAAGACTACGTGGGCAGAGATTCTGTAGGCTGTTCAGAAAGGTGATTTTGAGGCAGCATCACGTGTGTTCTGCACACTGAAGGCATTCCCACAATGCATTGTGACAAATATACAGTATACACACACTCCTGGGCAAAAAAAAAAAAAGTGCCAAGCCAAAATATTTAGGGATGCACCGATATGAACATTTTGGCCGATAACCGATAATTCTTTATGTTTGAAAGCCGATAACCGATATATATATATATATATAAATCCAAATTTGTATTCATTTTTTTGAGAGCCTGATTACTAAAACAAAATTCTCACCATTAAAAGCCAGGTACATGTTCTCATTATAATTTTATGTAGCCAATATGACAGACTTGCGCTGCACATGTCGCACTGAACCGTATTTTCCTTCTTTGAATTTATTCCAGTCATATGTCAAGCAATTCAAAAGTTGAACAGTGCACATCTAAAGTGTCTCAGCTGAAGGAAATAATCCATAATTTATTGGTTTTAATATATCGGCCAAATTTTCTTATCGGGCCGATAACGATAATATTAAAAATTATCATATATCGGCAATATGGTGGCCGATACATCGTGCATCCCTACAAATATTTAGTGGTCTTTTAATGGTCAAAATGTTAATCACAAATCAATAGTCAGGTAATTAGCAGGAATTGCACAAATACTGTAGATAATAAACAATGCTTTTCAGGTCTAACAGTCTTTAGATACAGATTACGTACAGAAATTGAATAAAGTAATCAAATGTAAAATAACACAAATTAAATTAAATATAAAAGTTTTTGCAGTGAGTCTTTTGTTGTTTGATTAACATTAAAAACAGACTTTAAGACAATGCACAGATCCAATATAATGATGCTGTTACACATGCATTTTCTTTCTTGACTGTTTACGTTCACTTAAGACATAACCGACTATGGCTCACTGGGGTTTCTGTCAGACGCGTGCGTGCAAGGTATATTTCGCGTCTTCTTGCGCTTGAACGTTTTTTCCTTGAAAAAATGCAAATGAGCCCCGCCTCCACTCACTCACTCAGAAATCCACTTGTTGACGATCACACGTTGATCTGATTGGTTACAAGGTAGTTTGTGACGTCCGAATTTTTTTTTTTTTTTTTACTCTCTTTGGTTCACAACAGTTTTAAGGAGAAAATACTCAGCAATGGTATTGACTTATGAATTTGTACATGGTTTGTCTAAACAAAAACACTACATAGACATAAAAAAACATTAAAAGCTGGATTTTCACCACAGGGGGACTTTAAGACAATTAAAACCTTAGTGTTTAGCCATTTTAGGCTTGGTCCTTTTTTTGCCAAGTGTGTGTGCGTACGTGTATACATTCAGTTCTTAAAGGTATCAAAATAAATAAATAATATTTCAACCAATCTACCGAATAAAACCTAATAACTGTGTGTGCTGCTGTGCATATGTAACGTTTTACAAAAACAGCCACTTATTAGGAAGGTTCGATTCGTTAAGTTGTTGTCTTAGAAGGCAGCTGCTTATGTAGGCAGTCAAAAGGAAGTCGCCATTTTGTTATCTTTTCTGAACTTTCCAGAGTGACTCACGTATAAACGTACCGTGTATTCATGCAAGGCTGTGCCAAAACCTGTGGCATATAATTGCAAGTGAAGCATTATCATCTAGCGCTGTCTTGTGTTTTCATCATGAGTGTGCGCGCGTGGCTGACACACGACATGGTTTCTGTTTGAGGACCGTTAAACCACACTGACTTCCTGAAATGAAGGATACAAGCATTCTCTGTAAAACCACAGTACATCCCTAACTGCTCAAAACAACCCTGTTGATTGATTAACACTTTTCTCTGAATTACACATAAATGCATTCATGATCACTTACAACACATCTGTTAAATTCGCGGGTCAGAAATTAAACCTTAATCTTTATCACTGTATAAAGTGTCTCAGACCGGATGTCCAAATCAAGTCGACAACATTTGGTCTGATTTTTTCTTTCTATAAACATCCATTAAAATAAAATGTCTTAATTTTAACCCATTGTAATTAACTGGGAATTGTTTCCAATCACGATAAATCCACATCATCAGTATACATTGCTCAATGTATCTATATAAATTATCATTTAAATTATTCAGCTTTTATACATAAACAATTTTTTTAAAAGATTGACAAGCAGTTTTTTTAATAGAAGTTGTGTGTGTCAACATTTTAAGATATGTAAATATGCTAATTATCTACAGAATGCTGCTCTGATATATCTAAGCAAATGTCCAAGAAAATAAAAAGAACAAAATAGTAGGGATGCACGACATATCGGCCACCATATCGGTATCGGCCAAATATATATGTTCATTTTTAATGTTATCGTTATCGGCCCGATAAGAAAATTTGGCCGACATATTAAAACCGGATTAATGGATTATTTCGTTCAGCTAAGACACTTTAGATGTGCACTGTTCACAATTATGTTTTTGAATTGCTTGAAATATGACTGGAATAACTTCTAAAAGGAAAATACAGCAAAGTGCAACATGTGCAGCGCAAATCTGTTATATCGGCTACATAAAATTATAATGAGAACATCATTATAATCAGCGCTTGACATTAACTTTTTTGCTCACTAGCCAATGTGGCTAGTGGTTTTCCAAAATGACTAGCCACGCAGCATTTTTACTAGCCACAGTTTTGTTGTTGTACGTTTTATATGATTAAAATTGACAATGGGGCTGAAAACGTGCTAAAATGAACTAATATTATCATTAGCTCTGATAAGGTTGTTAAGCTCCTTTTTTGATAACATGTTGTCTAAGATACACACATAAAATAGCTTCTTATTGTATATAATAAAAGTGCTGCATTGTTTGTTTGTTTTTTGTTTTACAGCAGTAAATACTGCAATACAGAGTAGAACAATTATCTGCATTAGAAACAACGAGCAAAGAATAAATATTAATTTTAAAGAAAAAATCCACAATTAAGGCACCAGGATTACAACTTTATATAGGCTATATAGGACTATATAGGACTTTGGATTGTTTGTTTTGCATCAGCTTTTCCTCAGAGCTCTGACTTAATAATCATCATCATGAAGCTCTGAGTAACTGGAGATATGTCCACCTGAAACAAGTATAGGCCTACAGGTCTTTATTTTCCAGATTATTCCCACAAGCGCATCTCCTGCTTTCTTTCATGGCATGATTAATTTTATTAAAACATAGAATTAACTCTGGAAAGATAGTTGTGATATGACGTGACATAAGGGCAGCCCTGCTAGTAGTTAGGCCTACACCGTGGCCCTTAATCATGAAGATGATTTTTGCTTTAATACCGGCCATGCACACTCACGAACTGACTGAACGCTGTGTTGATGTGTGTGTGTATGCGACCAGTCGCGTGTGATGATCGTTCGTTTGGCGCGCGCACCCTCGCGCAGCGGCACTGCAGGAGAGCGTGAGACACGCCGGTGGTCTGGATTCTCCTGCTATTAAAAAAAGATCGGTATATCATCACATTAAGTTGATAATTAAGGGCAGACTAAAACAGCCCAGTTCGTCGCACAGTCCGCGAGTTTAATCTCCGCGTGTCTTCTTGTTTGCAGTGTTGTCGTTCAAGAGGATTCACGAATGGACCAATGAGCAAACACTAAACTATGTGCAGGTGGTACTCATGGGAGTGGTAGTGGCATAGTGTCAAATTGCAATTCGTTTGTTATGTCAGATGTCCTTTGACAAGACTACAAATCTTCAACACGCCAAAGTGGCTAGTGAGAGTGACTGTGTTACCCGCCACGGGTGAAATGCACCCGCATTTGGCGGGTTGGCGGGTGTTAATGTCAAGCCCTGATTATAATTGTGTGCTTGGGACATGGCTTTTAATGTTGAGACTTATGTGTTTGTAATCAGGTTCTCAAACATTTGGATTTTGATTTATCGGCCAATATATCGGTTATCGGCTTTAAAATATAAAGAATTATCGGTTATCGGTATCGGACAAAATTTTCATATCAGTGCATTCCCACAAAAGAGTGAAAGAGGGTGTATCTAAACAGAGTCACTACATTAAAAATTCTTCATAAAGACCTACAAATGTAAATAGTTACAACGCATGTCTCAAGCCAATTTTGCTACTTAAGTGTGACTTCATTGCATTTTTACGCAGAAACTGTTTTTTTCTTTTCAGGGTTTACAGGTGAAGACAGACTATATTCCCTTGCTGCAATCACTGGCTTCATTTGGATGGAGACTCACTTGTGTGCTGCCTACACCCATCATCAAGACTAACAGGTAGAGACTCCTAGATAAAATAATTGCCTTAAAGGGGTGGTATAATGCCCTTTTCACAAATCTCTGATGTCCCTAGAGTGTGTATGTGAAGTTTTAGCTCAAAATACCCCACAGATATTTCTATATAGCATGTTAAAATTGTCACTTTTTGAGGGTGAGCCAAAACGCACAGTTTTTGTCTTTCCCTTTAAATGCAAATGAACTGCTGCTCCCGACACAGGGGGCGGAGCTTCAAGAGCTAGTGTCTGATTACCTCACACACACATGCACTGAAAATTTCAAAAACTTTTAGCCTTTTATGTTCAAACCGGAGTCAGACAAAGATGAAGAGACTCAAGTAGAAGTGACAACATGTAGAAGCAACAGGACATTTCTGAATGGTTAGTTGATGAATTTATGAAGCTTATGTGTAGTTATCTTCTAGTCATTGATTAGCATATTCTGTTATGATAATCTATAAATTGCGTTCCTGGGGGCGGGGTTTATGCCAATTTTAGGGTTAGTGATGTCACTAACCCGGAAGGAATGTCATGTAGTTCTACCAGCCGTTTGTTGTAGTCCTTTAAAAGCAATTTCTTTAAAAGAAAATATCTCCCTTTGCTTTAAACTTTGAGCGTTGTAACTTTGCAGATGTTGCTTATGCTCAAACAGCTACATTACACACTAACTAAAGTTAGTCATAATCAACCACCCCTTTAAAATTCATTATTACTTAACTTCAAGTTTCATTACAGATTCTGAAAGTTTTGTGAGCAATATCATCTGAAAAAGCTGTAAGGATGCATACTTTGAGAGTGCAGTGCATAGAAACAGTACACTGTTGTATTATTGTACATATTTTTGGGTGAACTAACCCTTTAACTCTTAGCTCCCGATGGCGACGATGTTAGCGAAGGGCGTGGTGAGCTCGTGTCAGGGGCGTGGGTAGTGAGCCTGTAGACTTGGTATTAAGCCTTTTTTCCCCGGTATTATTTGATTCACGGAAGCGGACACCAGTTATCTTGCCTTATGTTTAAAATGGAACGGATGCTTACCTCATGAATCTTAGTCTTCAGTGCCGTTGGCAGAGCCAGCATACGTCAATCGCGGAAACAACTTCCAATAGGAAAATTCAACTGCAGTAGCCACCGTTCAACTCGAAGAGGGCAACACTCAGACGTTTTTACACCATATATTGTAGAATTAAAACACTTTACACCGTGTCCTAACCAGATGCGATGCGATAAGATTCCAGCGACAAATAATTTGACTTTCCACACTAGGCACGACGCGACTGCGAGATGCGTACAAATCAATCAAAACCCACAGCCAATCAGAACAGCGCGTGGGCGGAGTCAATCTTAGCGGCAATCGCAAGAAAATGGATAAGTCGGCTACATAATCAGATTCACAAATATTACACCATTTAAACATTATTTAAATACATAGGCTACTGAGTTACTAAAACAATCTTTGTCAAATAATACACAGTTTGAACATTCTTGTTTCCATTTGTTTAATTTAAAGATCTGAGGTGAATTATCCATTGTTGCTTTTACAGCTACAAAGCTGGAGCACTAAATGATATTCAGAGTCACATTACACACTTTTAGCATTAAATAAAGCACATAAACAGTACCTGAGATTATCATTGCCACACTTTGTGTTTGTTGTTCCAGTGCGACGTCTTCGTTTCTAAAATAGAATCGTCCCGTGTCGCCGTCGCGGCTGGTTAGGTTAAAAACTCTGATTAACATGTAAAAGATGCATTTTATCGCGTGTCGCGGCGTGGCGTGTAGTGTAGTTAGGACACGGTGTTATACCCAAATGGCAAAACATTTACTCGAGTCAATGAACAGCCTTAAAGGGATAGTTCACCCCAAAATGAAAACTCTGTCAGTAATTACTCTCCCTCATGTTGTTTCAACCCCGTAAGACTTTCGTTCATCTTCAGAACACAAATTAAGATATTTTTGATTAAATCTGAGAGCTTTCTCACTCCTCCATAGGCTTCTAAGGGATCGAAACTGGCCGGCCCAGAAAAGTTATTAAAGACATCGTTAAAATAGTCCGAGTGACTACAGTGGCTCAACCTTAAGTTTATCAAGCGACGAGATACTTTTTGTGCGCAAAAAAACAAACAAAAACCACGAACGCCATTCATACAGTTCAGCTCACTTAGCACGTCGTTCGTGGTTTGACTAGTCGAGACTGTTTTCCAAAGATGGCTCCTGTCTGTATACACGAAGTGGACTGTCTTTATAAAATATCTTCTTATTAAACGGTCTGTACACTTACAAAGTTCTCAATGCTTCGTTTTGCATGTAGGGACCCTCATTATGTTACTGTGTTCGTGTGCGGCCATTTTGAGCCTTGTTAGTGGTATTAACTAGCGATATCTTTTTACTTATTAAATGCCCCCATTACTAGCGTTATACGCTAAACAGTTTTTAGAGATAAAACTCTTTACATTCGATTATCATGAAAACAAATATCAGAGAACGGTTGACTAGGTACCAATGTTTTATTAGACCAAAGGTTCATTTTGCGCCGAGTTCTCCTTTAAAGGGATAGTTCACCCCAAAATGTAAACTCTGTCAGTAATTACTCTCCCTCATGTTGTTTCAACCCCGTAAAACTTTCGTTCATCTTCGGAACACAAATTAAGATATTTTTGATTAAATCTGAGAGCTGTCTCACTCCTCCATTGGCTTCTAAGGGATTGAAACTTGCCGGCCCAGAAAAGTTAGTAAAGACATCGTTAAAATAGTCCGAGTGACTACAGCGGCTCAACCTTAAGTTTATCAAGCGACGAGAATACTTTCTGTGCGCAAAAAAACAAACAAAAATAGCGACTTTATTAAACTATTCATCTTCTCTGTGGGCCTCTAGATTTCACGGAGTGTAACAGCGCAGCACTTCTGTGTTGCACGTCACACGAAGGCTTACTATTGGCCGACGCTGGTCATGTGTGTGTGTGTGTGACGTACAACCCAGAAGAGCTGCGCTGTTACACTACGTGAACTCACTCGAGGCCCACAGAGAAGGAAATTAATAATTGAATAAAGTCGTTATTTTTGTTTGTTTTTTGCGCACAAAAAGTATTCTCGTCGCTTGATAAACTTAAGGTTGAGCCACTGTAGTCACTCTGACTATTTTAACGATGTCTTTACTAACTTTTCTGGGCCGGCAAGTTTCAATCCCTTAGAAGCCTATGGAGGAGTGATCCAGCTCTCAGATTTAATCAAAAATATCTTAATTTGTGTTCCGAAGATGAACGAAAGTCTTACGGGGTTGAACGACATGAGGGAGAGTCATTACTGACAGAGTTTACATTTTGGGGTGAACTAACCCTATAACATTAAATAAAGCACATAAACGGTACCTGAGATTATCACGTCGCATGTAGTTAGGACACGGTGTTATACTCAAATGGCAAAACATTTACTCAAGTCAATGAACAGTCTTAAAGGGATACTCCACTTTTTTTGGAAATAGGCTCATTTTACAACTCCCCCAGAGTTAAACTGTTGAGTTTTACCGTTTTTGAATCCATTCAGCCGATCTCCGGTTCTGGCGGTACCACTTTTAGCATAGCTTAGCATACATCATTGAAGTGGACAAGACCATTAGCAGTTCTAAAAAAAAAATGTTTGAATTCCTGCGTAATAATCAAGAAACTTCACTGCCGTACCATGAGAGCAGCAGGCGTAATGATATGACGCAGCGCCTGAAAATAGTTCCGTTGTGTTGACGGAAGGTGGCCTATTTTCAGGCGCTGCGTCATATCATTACGCCTGCTGCTCTCATGGTACGGCAGTGAAGTTTCTTGATTATTACGCAGGAATGAGAGTATAGTTCCTAGCCATATCAGCCTAGAAAATCGCAACTTTACATTTTCCGTCGGTCTTAGTGCACGATGTAACTACAGAAGAGTCAAGTTTTAAATAGGAAAAATATCAAAACTCTTTGGTCATTTTTTTTTGAGAAATGCTAATGGTCTTGTCCACTTCAATGATGTATGCTAAGCTATGCTAAAAGTGGTACCGCCAGAACCGGAGATCGGCTGAATGGATTCAAAAACGGTAAAACTCAACAGTTTAACTCTGGGGGAGTTGTAAAATGAGCCTATTTCCAAAAAAAGTGGAGTATCCCTTTAATAAAGCCCCAGTCTTACAGATCATTATCTAAAAAAAAGTTGTTTTAGGGTTTAGTTACCCTAAAAAAGGTATGGAAGAGAGGGGTACGCAGAAGGATCGTAAACTATTACGCCACTAAAAAGTTTGGGAACCACTGGGTTAGGGCATCCAGAGGTAGAAACACCCACTACGAGCAACCAGTGACTAGACGACCTCCAAATAAAACCAGTCAATGTGAAGTGAATTGGCTTTAGAGGTAGGAAACAAAGTAATCAATTGAGTTTGTGTAAACGCCACATGGGGCGTCATTTCCAACATCAAGTAAGAACAATTGTACAACCCACAGAGTAATAGTGCATCCCAAACTCCAACCGTGTCAAAGTGCTCGGGGTATAAAGACCTCTGAGACCTCATCGAGGCAGAACATGATGTTTGCTCGCCGTAATGAAATGTCAATACAAGCTAACTGATGATTCCTGTAATAGCAGGTGGAAGCTTCCGGCGATGTCGAACTGAAGTTCACCATGTAATCTTCATCTGTCATACGATCCCGCATTGGCCTTTCTCTCACACGTCAGCTTTCCATCCCTGCTGATTAATTACGGGCCTATTTTAAACTTTCACAAAAAGCCACAACGCAGCTATACGGCTAATTAATCAAAACGTTGTCCTAGATACAACCAAACCGTCACTTTTCAATGTCTTGGAAACGGCTGGCCTTGTTTTCCTGGGTGGCGTAAAACAACATGGAAACATACGAGTAACACTCACGGTCCTTACCAGGGATGAAATGGTTACCAGTTTGATGCTAAACCACAATAAGAAAAAATTATTGACCTTTAGTATTAGAGTTTCATATTTTATATTCATAATTAATTATTAATAATCATTAAAACTGTATTTGAGTATCACAATTTGAAAACAGTCTCATGTAGGTTTGGTTTTGTGTGAGAGTGCTGAAAGAATTTATATGACAGAATGTATAAACAAATTAATTCTATGTCTTAAGAAAAGTTATAAAGAGATTTACTTTCCATCTTCCCTCCGTGTAACGCCTAATAAAGTAGTGTTTATAAGCTTATTGCTTCTTTGTTTACCAATATTTCTGCTGTTACATAAGCGCCACCTACTGTCAGAGAGTAGATTTACATTTTCATTCAGCATGTCTGCCATTTTTATTCAGACTAATATGAAAATCGGACCAAATTTTGATTGTTAAACAGGTAGATGGAAAATAAGCTAATGTGCGTTCTAAAAATGTCAACAATTCAGATGTACAGTAGAATTGTTTATGGCGCAGATAAGTGTGGTAAACTTTCATAAAAATGTAGCCTAAATTTCCAGTATATTTACTAGGCCTATACCGTTATAATATTGATAACCGTTATCATTTCGGTCACTATAATCAAGATATGAAAATTTCATAGCGTTTTATCTCTAGTACTTGCATAATATGTCACTAAAATTATTACCAGTATTAGTGAAGCTATTTTAAAACTGTAAATTAATCTACATGATATAAAGCAAATGACAAGCAAACTAGAATATTTACAATTAGAATATGGTGCAAAAGTTCATTTATTTCAGTAATTCAACTTAAAAGGTGAAACTAATATATTATATAGACTCATTAGTCATTACATGCAAAGTGAGATATTTCAAGCCTTTATTTGTTATAATTTTGATGATTATGGCTTACAGCTTATGAAAACCCCAAAAAGGTTTTCATATCTGTAAGCCATAATCATCAAAATTATAACAAATAAAGGCTTGAAATATCTCACTTTGCATGTCTATATCTATATAATATATTAGTTTCACCTTTTAAGTTGAATTACTGAAATAAATGAACTTTTGCACGATATTCTAATTTTTCGGGTTGTACAGTCAGACTACCGTTTTGAAGAATTGCACTACTGCAATTTTTGACTGACAGTAATTTCTATTTCAAATAAATGTTGTTCTTTTGAACTTTCTATTCATCAAAGAATCTTGACACATAAAAATGAAACAGTTTCAGGCAGCTCAAGAATGCAGATGAGTTTGTGTATCAGCATCACTGCTATATTTCCACACACTTCTCATTGATATGCATCACGCCGCAGCGAACGCTTGTACATTCATTACATTCAAAAATGCTGAAGTTACCATTCAATTAAGCCCTTAATGATGGGGATTGTATAGGCGGCGTGTGCCTAGTTTGGATGCTGGCGAGACTGAAGACCAGAGCTGTAATTTCACCGTCCACTCGTTTACATTTTAATGGACTGAGGCTTGCAGGAATCCAGCTTTTCCCTCTGATTTAAGCAGGAAGCACTTGAATAAATATACAGTTCTTTGACAAGCAAGAAAATGGGAAGTGGGAGGGAAAAGAAATCAAAGCAGGGACGATTTAGACATTTGGTATTGATTGCAAGCTTATGCCAGAGATGCAGAGGCACGCTTGATTTGTAGCAGAGTCGTAAAGGGAAACAGAGAGCGTGAGAAAGATTGAGAGTGTTTGGTAAAACATCTCCATCTTCTCTGAAGATTAAACGGCTTAACCGAACTGTGTTTTATCAACTTTTTAAACGTGCATTCACCCCAGAAATGCTAAACTCACCACACTCGAGGATGCGTAGCTTCCTTCTCTACATTAGCCCTGACAAGACGGCAAGAAAGAGAGATTTAGTCATCACAGGATTTCACAAAACGGATATTTTGTTCATCCCTTTCAATGCCGGATGTTCCCACAGCTAAAAAAAAAAATTAAGAAGATCTCCAGGGGGGTTTTCTTGCACCATCCAGCATTACTGGAGCTATAAATACAAGATAAGATGCTGAATAAACAAGCGCACTCTAATAAACAAGAAGCGAAATGTTGCATAGCTGGAACAAACAACTTAAACTAGCTGGTGTAGATGACCTTTGAGTTTGTCTCGCCATGCTATGTAACAAGAATCATTTGAAGCATATATTTTTGTCTTAACCCTCTGGTTATCTTTGGGGTCTTTTTGACCCCCAAATGACTTTTGGTGAATTTAAAAAAAATGTTCTCTTTGTCCAAATGGTATGAAAACTTCTACGCCTCTTAACACTGTCTAGATCTACCAAAAAATATATATATTGGAATGATATCAGTTTTTATGTTAGCGTGAAAAAAATGCCAGCACTTGTTATCTTCGGGGTCCCTGGAGACCCCGCATAGTGAATATACAAAATTCATCATCAAAATCAGAAACAACGAAGAAACAACGCAGATCACATAGACAGAAATAAAGTGGCACACTTCCAACAATGCAAAAAAAATAAAAATCCACAATGCACACACACACACACACACACAGTAATACATTTGTAAGGCTATACTATGCATACTGCCTGCAGTGCACAGACGCATAAACACCTGCAGTGCACTGTAAACGAGACTGTATGTCAGGGTTCCTCAAACTCGGTCCTGGAGGGCCACTGTCCTGCAGAGTTTAGCTCCAACCCTGATCAAACACACCTGAGCAAGCTAATCAAGGTCTTCAGGATCACTAGAAACTCACAGGTAGGTGTGTTTGATCAGGGTTGGAGCTAAACTCTGCAGGACAGTGGCCCTCCAGGACCGAGTTTGAGGAACCCTGCTGTATGTGATGACCACCAATTATTGTTCCTAGTTGTTCGATTTTTTCCCCATTCACTGTTTTTTTTAACAAAATTTTATTTTTTTACTGCTTTATTTGCTCATTTGTTATTGCTGTTCAGTTCATTGCATTTTGATGTTCATGTCATGTATTTTTACTCAATATGTAATATAACTGTTCATTTCTGTATTTTTTTTTTGTTCTGTTACAGTTAGTAAAATTGTAGAATTAAAATTGTAGAATTATATTAAAAACAGATGATTGAAATAAATTATAAAATCTAAAGACTCCAACATTTGGAGTCTTGTTCAGGTTTGATTCTAATCATAATGTAACATTGAAAAACTTTTGTCTGTACAAAAAATGCTAAACTTTGACAAAAAGTTTTTTTTGTGTGTTATCATTGTGATTTTATAATATTTAGATATGAATCCAACTGGAAAAACTTGTGAAAAGATATGTAGTTTGGTTAATCACATAGCAAATAGCTTATAGTGGAGGTCTATGGCCATCTAGTGGTTAAAGTGATTTTTATTTTATTTTTTAACTGCATTTTCCAAAAAAATGGGGAAATCTGGGTCTTTTATAAAGTAAATTTGACATAAAATGCTGTTTTTTTGTAAAAAAAAAGCCTATTTAAATAAATATTTATTTATTGAAATTTAAAAGATATAAAAAATCCTCCAAAAACTGCACAAATGTTGAGTAAAAACATTAATAAACAGGCTAAAATTACATTTGTAAAAAAATATATATATTATTCTGTTACAAAATTAAATGTTATTGTCTGGGGTCCCTGGAGACCCCAAAGATAATGAGTGTAGACACAAATGAAGATAATCAGAGGGTTAAAGTCCCCCTGTGGTGAAAACCAAGTGTTGTTTATATGTGGTGTTTTTAATATGCTTTAAGACACACCATGTGTAAGTTCATAAGTCGACAGCATTGCTGAGTATTTTCTGCTTAAAACTGCAGTGAACCAAAGACAGTCTCAAAAACACGGTTTGAAATCGCTGGTGTTTCTGACGTCACAAACGACCTTGTAACCAATCAGATCAACGTGTGATCGTCAACCAGTGGATCTCTGAGCTGAGGGAGTGAGTGGAGGCGGGGCTCATTTGCATATTCATAGAACCGCGAATACTAAATGAGGCAAGGGTGTCGAGTTACATTCAAGATATTGTAAGACATGAAGAAAAAAATTAATGAAAAAACGATTAAATATGTAATTTTGGTGATCAAAGATGAGATTTAAGGTACAAAATGATTGACCACAGGGGGACTTTAAATATATATATTTTTTTTGCACTGAAAATATCAGTGCAAAAAAAATTTTTATTTTTTAATGTAAATTAATATAATCTAGTTGGATATGATGCAAAGATTTACTTTTAGCAAACGGCCCTTAGTCAAGTTTGATTTTTGGCCCTTCATATTAAAAAGTTTGGGAACCTCTGCCAACTCTCTATTTTAAGGAATGTCACGCAATTTTTCTTTCATGTTTTAATTCCAATGTTAAACGTCTGTGCAGAACTTTGTTTGACAAATTTTTTAAAGGAATTTTTAATTTTTATTTGAATACGTTATAAAATTTGTAGATTTAATTTGTTGATGTTGAACAAGAAATGCTTTTTGATTACTAACATTTCATTTAACCAGTAGAACAGAATCCAAACATTTCTTTTTTTTTTTTACAATGGAAGTGGGGAAAAAAGGAATTCAGAAAAATTTAAATGGAATAGAGGGGTCCTAGACCTGGACCAAGCAATATTACTGTAGTATAATCATATCTAGACTAGATCACTAACTAATCTGCTTCTTCTCTCATCAGTGATGGAAGTCTGGCCACCAAACAGATCGTTTTCCTCCAGAGGCCGATGTTGCCTCGCAAGAAGAAAGAATCCAAGGTGAGTGAACTCTTATTCCAGACACACACTCTCACACACACACACACACACACACACACACACACACACACACACACACACTCAGCCACACACTCACACTCTCACTCACACACTCTCTCTCACACACACATACACTCTCTCACACACTCTCACACACTCTCTCACACTCTCTCACACTCACACACACACACACACTCTCACTCTCACACACTCTCACTCACACACTCTCACTCTCTCACACACACACTCTCTCACACACACTCTCACACACACTCACACACACACACACACTCACACTCACACACACTCATACACACACTCACACACACACACACTCACACACACACACACACTCACACACACTCAGCCACACACTCACACTCTCACTCACACACTCTCTCTCACACACACATACACTCTCTCACACACTCTCACACACTCTCTCACACTCTCTCACACTCTCTCACACTCACACACACACACACACTCTCACTCTCACACACTCTCACTCACACACTCTCACTCTCTCACACACACACTCTCTCACACACACTCTCACACACACACACACACACACACACACTCACACTCACACACACTCATACACACACTCACACACACACACACTCACACACACACACACTCACACACACACACACTCACACACACACACTCTGCAGCTGCCCGGCTGAAACACATATAGTTTGTGTTAGCAGTGTTTCTACAGGGTTCAGGCGTTTCCTTAAATCACCACATAAAATGGGGTAAAAAAGCACAAGACGCTTGAACAGAACAATGCATAATTTAAACAAATATTTGGCTCCATGCCACTTCAAAGAAAACCAGAGCGAGTGTGTGTGTGTAGTGGGTGTTACTGCGTGTGTGGTTTTCCTGAAGATATTTATTTACATGGCAGTGTTGTCTTTACTTTTTTTTTTTTTTTTTTTTTGGGAAGAAAGGGCCGATGCAAACGCGCTGTGCTAAGCTTGTCAGTTTTATACGCAATTCAATGCCTTGTAAATTTATATTCACAACCATAACAAACTGAAGACAAGAATCTAAATGAACTTTTTCCAAAAAACAAAAATATCACGTGGCATGCAGGAGCTTCGGGTCCCATGTATCCCAATGAGGAATCCACAGATTTTAACATTCAGCGAATTCATATGTGCAAGACAGCAATAATCAAGTTTTGAACACTGTTATAAATCACAATGATCTGTGATATACTGTACTTGAAGGAAATGGGCTTAAAAGGGTTTGCAGTGAATGGTGAGAGCATCAAAACGTTAAGAAATACTTTATGCAAATCAGGGGTGGAGACCGATGGACGACAGCCAATCACAGCATTTTTCAACGGTTTTGGTTCAGGAAGTATTTTTTCCATTCATTTCTCCCATAGGGATTGCAAAAAAAAGTCTTCGTTAAAGCATTTTAGGCCATGAATGAACCAAACCAACCAGCTTACGAGGAGAATTACAACATTACAGACTTTGATTTGAAGCAAAAAAGTATTTAAACATCATACAAAGACTATTTAGTGGCTTCAGAGAGGGAAAGAACTAAAATCCCATGAAGCATTGCGAAAACAGTATAATCGAGTTAAAAATGATTGATACATACACAATGTATTTTAAATGTATTGCAAAATATGCATATCTATTGAAATATAATTTGAGAGCGAAGGCATATCGACTTGATTCCGTCATTCGCAGTGCTTTATGGGAGTGGGCGGAGCTAAAATAGCTCTTTTGGCATGTTTTGCTTGTTTCGGCTGGGATTGGTGGAATTTTCTGTACAGCATCATGGGTAATGTAGTTTTTCACCACGAATTCCACTGTCAAACATGTTTACTTTAAAACTAAGGTAAAAACATGCGGGCTGACGGCTTCAACAAAAGCAAATACCATCGATTAACAACCTCGTAGCTCACAGTAGGGCTGACTTTAACGGTTTATAAGTTATTGTTAAAAAAATAACAATCGTTTTTTCCATCTATTATCATACACACACATATACAGAGAGAGAGGGGGGTTATGGTGGAGCATGAAAGGCTTTTTGACACTTACTTCACACCGTACAGTGGGTGGCGGGTCCAGACTCGACTCATTCACGGATGGCGTGACCAAAGTCCTGTCACTGTTGATGTCCGGTTTTTCAGACACACTGTTATTGTATAAAAGCACCTGTGTTGACTAATCTGGTTTCAGACAGTTTTCCGACACAGCAAAACGCGACGTGTAATTATTTATTTCACGGCTCTCTGGAGTACTTGACGTTTGATTAATCAATCGCGGCATCCAACGGTCTAATATATTTGTGTCCATAGCAACGCCGTCATCTGCTCTCGCGGCTAACTGAAATTGGCGCCACTTTTGCGTCTTTCGCGCGCCTCACTCTCTTATACAAACAGACGTGACGCAACTAGCGCCATCTTGCGTCTCGGTTATCGTTTACAGTAAAATCACCTCAGGCCAGGGAACTTGAGAATTAATATTACTGGAATATTTTTGCAGTGCTTTTAGTCTGGTTAGTAGGCTGAATGGTTTGTACATTGTAATGGACTTTGATTTTTTAAGATAATTTAGGCTACAGGTAGATAATTTCAATTTAAATAAATATGAACTAGATAAATTGCCCTCAGAGAGGAAATTATTTTCCCCAGTGGGTTCATACATAACACAATATATATGTGTGCATGTGTGTGTTTTAATAAGAATTTAAAAAAATTAATTTAGCAAAATGAAATGAAATATATAGTATGTATAATTCATGATTTCATTTTTACTGCTAAATAACTAAACTCAGCAATAAAAATAAAATGTAAATTCATTTTTTTAAACACAACATAATGCAATATATATATATATATATATATATATATATATATACGATTTGTAATAAATATTACCTATTATTTATATTATATATTATGTTATATATAAAATAAAATGTATGATTTAATTTTATAAATGTATAAAAAAGTAGATATATTACATTTTGCAAATGTTTTTTTAATGAATTATAAAATAATTAATACATTTAAATTAAATAAATGTAAAAAAATATATAAAATAAAATAGGCAATCAGAATTTTGATCAAAAGAGTGTACATAAAGTGTAATTTTTTATAGATCATGGAAGCGGTGATTCATAAAATGATGAGACTAATGGTAAAGCATTATAACCAAGCACACTTTTTAAAGAGACAATTCATGAAATATGTACTTGTATTTTAGGTCTATCTCATTATCGTTTTTTTTTTTAAAAGTCTCAAAACTCTCTGTCGACATTGTCTATTTCAGAAAGTCATCTTTAAAGCACGGAACAAGTCCAACAAGAACTCCGTCAAAGACGCACCAAAGAACAAGAAGAAGAAAGAGACGAGTGATCAAAAGAGCAGCGACGGAGCCGAGAAGAGCGCAGAAGACACGAATACAAGCGTGAACGAGCGACGGGGGGAAAACATGAGTGATGAGGCTGAAGTGCAGAGAGAACAGAGAGAGGAAGGAGATGAGACAGAGGCGACAGGAAGTGATGTCACAGCTGGCAGGGAGAAACAGGAAGCAGGAAGCAGCGAAAGAGATGGAAACGCTGAGGAGAAGGTAAACGAGAGTAGTGTGAAAACTGAAGCTGAAATGGGGTCGTATAAAGACACGGGACGACAGGAAGAGGAAGTGGACAAACAGGAAGACGGCTCAGCCAATCAGGATTGAGGATGCGCTCAACCCACCTGGCCAATGGAAGTGGGCCTTTATGAATGTTAAAATGCTATATACCTTGCAAAAAAAAAAAAAAAAAAACTCAATATTTTGTCTTGTCCAGTATCTAAACATCCCTAAAACAAGATAAATTCACAAGGCATTATAACGTTGTTGCCTTCAAATTTTTAAGTACAATCAACTTGGATGTTTAAGTCATTTCAACTCAAATTACATTAAACTGACTTTTTAAAAAATGAGTTGAATCTTGTATAAGTTATTTAAAAAAAAAAAATTAATGCGTTAAAGCAATGTAAAAACACGTTATCATAACTTATTGATCATATAATTTTTAGAGCTGGGCAATAATTAATCACATCCAAAATAAAAGTTTGTTTACACATAATATGTGTGTACTGTACACTCTAAAAAAAAAAGCTGGGTTGTTTCAACCCAACTTTGGGTCAAATGTGGACAAACCCAGCCGTTGGGTTAATTTTTTTAAATTAAAATTTTAACCTAACGTTCAGGGTTGTCCATATTTGACCTAAAATTGGGTTAAAACAACCCAGCATTTTTTAGAGTGTATAAATTATAATTTGTATATATAAATACACACACATGCATGTATATATTTCAGAAATATTTGCATGTATATATATTTATACATCATTTATATTATATATAAATATAAATATTTGATATATAAATAACAACATTTTTTCTTAAATATATACATGCATATGTGTGTGTATTTATTTTATTATATACAAGATACATTGTATAGTACACACACAGGTGAAACTCGAAACATTAGAATATGGTGCAAAAGTTCATTTATTTCAGTAATTCAACTTTAAAGGTGAAACTAATATATTATATAAACTCATTACATGCAAAGTGAGATATTTCAAGCCTTTATTTGTTATAATTTTGGTGATTATGGCTTATGAAAACTTTTCACAATATTATAATTTTGAATTTGGGGTTTTCATAAGCCATAATCACCAAAATTATAACAAATAAAGGCTTGAAATATCTCACTTATGGGTCTATATAATATATTAGTTTCACCTTTTAAGTTGAATTACTGAAATAAATGAACTTTTGCACCATATTCTAATTTGTGTATATTATGCAAACACAAACTTTTATTTTGGATGTGATGAATCGTTGCCCAGCACTAATAATTTTACTTGCCAATGCAGTAGGAAAAAATAAACATCATAATATCTTGTTTTATTAATGTTTAGATACCCAAGACATGACAAAACGACTGGTTGCCGTGGTGAAGCTTGCAGTTTCAGACTGTCACACACACACACACACACACACACACCTCTTGACCAGTACTGAGCGTTTAACTGGAGCGATGGCGTCTTTAAACGAGCCGGAAGGACTCCGGGATCCGGGAAGAGGAGGACCGATGGGAAGAGATATCAGTCAATGCACTGGATGGGAAAACCACATTAATGTTTAGTCGATGAGCCCAGAGGGACTCGAGGATACAGTTGCGAGAAGCAATCTATTGTGATGTATATGGTGCATTTGTTTGTGTATGTTTTCGTTTACATTTATATGAATATTTCATGTCACCGTCCAAAAACAAAAAGGTCAGATTCTCTAAATTTTAAGAGAAACATATTGGGAATATTGCGATTACGTTTGTTGGGGCTTTTTGTAAGTTTGGTTCGTTAACTTTCTGATTTAAAGGAATAATTCACGCAGAAATTAAAAATCTGTCATCATTTATTTGTCAGTGTTGATCCAAACCTGCATGACTTTATTCCATGGAAGTCATAATCATGAGATAATTGACATACTAAGTTATAGTTTTGAGATAAAATGTTGAAATTATCACGAACACAAGATTTACACATAGTAAAATTCCATCAACTTGAATTGAATAATCCTTACATTTTCATATTATGAATTAATTAGGAACTAACTAGAGCTTAATAAAACATTTTATGTAAATCCTAATGGATTCATATTCAAAAATGTTTGAATTTATGAATACGAATCACAAACTAAATGGTCTATTCTTTTATTCCATTAAGATTTATAGAAAATATTTTATTAAGCTTTAGGTTTTTTTAGTCAATTTAAATTCTTAATTCGTAAATCTTAAAAAAAAGATTTTTTTTAGTGTAGTATGTCAATAATGAGGGGAAAAAATCTAACACAAATAAACATAAATATACATAATAACAAATATATTATTTTACCCTGTATTTGTGCGTACACTATATTTTTATGCTTATTAGAATATTGCATAGTTTTCTTAGCCACAAAATACATTAATAAATCATCCATTGAATGTCTGTGCAACAAATGGTGATTAAATGATGACAGAATCATCATCATTTCGGGTGAATTATTCCTTTTAAAAGAGGCAGATGGTGTAACAAGCTTGAGTTTCGGTCCAGTTGGGCTTCACTTCGCATCGACACAAGCGGCTATAGCAAATGTTTCCAGCATTTCTCTAAAAGCAATGAAGCATCACAAGTGTTTTAGATGTTCCCTGCTTTAGTTTAAGCAGCTTCTCTCGTGTTAAAACAGCAGAAGGTGTGTTTATAGGCGCATTAACTCACTGACACTTGCTAATGTTCACCTCAAGATGTTCATTCTGACCCCTGATCCTGATCCTGATCCAGATCCAGTCCATGTTTTAAAACTGACACTGATTTTTTTTTTTTTACCAATTCATCAACATGAAATCAAAATGAACCATGGCTTGCTTAAAATAGCAAGAGATGTGGCACGTGTGTACGGAAGCGTATTGCATTCACTTGATGGAAAATAATCTACTCTGTTTTTCTGAATTAACGAGTTAGTTATCTCAGAATTACGAGATAATTTTTCATGGAAAAAAGTTTTTGCTCTGTTTTTCTGAATTAACGAGTTAATTATCTCAGAATTACGAGATATTTTTTTAATGAAAAAAAGTTTTTGCTCTGTTTTTCTGAATTAACGAGTTAATTATCTCAGAATTACGAGATCATTTTTCATGAAAAAAGTTTTTGCTCTGTTTTTCTGAATTAACGAGTTAATATCTCAGAATTACGAGATATTTTTTCATGAAAAACATTTTTTCACTCTGTTTTTATCAATTAACGAGTTAATTATCTCAGAATTATGAGATATTTTTTCATGGAAAAAAAGATTTTGCTCTGTTTTTCTGAATTAACGAGTTAATTATCTCAGAATTACGAGATATTTTGTCATGGAAAAAAGTTTTTGCTCTGTTTTTCTGAATTAACGAGTTAATTATCTCAGAATTATTAGATACATTTTTCTTGAAAAACATTTTTTCACTCTGTTTTTATGAATTAATGAGTTACTCATAATTTTGAGATAATTAAGTCATTAATTCAGAAAAACAGAGCAAAAACTTTTTTCCATGAAAAATTATCTCGTAATTCTGAGATAATTAACTCGTTAATTCAGAAAAACAGTAGATTTTTTTCCTCAAGTGAATGCAATTAGTTTCCGTACGTGTGTGCATTGACCGAAATGAAACAAGAAATGGTTAAAACAGACCGTTTTCACTGAACAGAATTCATAAAGATACTGAGTTTCTATTATGAAAATTCCATGGGGGCGAAATCCGAAATCCGTGTTTCAGACCGCCGTCAATTTTCAATTTGCATGAGCAAATAAGTGTATATACGTGGATAATCCATAACAGAAGGTTGTGCTGATGGGATAGAGGGGTTATTTCATGACCATGATGTTATTAGCCTGATCATCTGCGATGTTTCAGAAGTAAAGTGAGCAACAGGACACGCTTCTTCGGCTTTTATTAATGAGGTGAACGACTAGAAATCACATCCCATAATCCAACTCAGAAGAAAGCATTATCCTGTCTGACTCGCAGAACAAAAAGGCTGTGTGTTAAAGAAATAATATTCATTTCTTTACCTATTCTCTCTCACAGAAGTCACTAAAACCAAAATTTTAGTTATTAAAACCAATCAGCTTTCTGTTGGTCAACGTAGAAAATTTTATTTCTACTGAAATTACAATTTTATGGAAGCTTATTTCGCCACAGAATAAAACATTTTAAAAGATAATTGCGACTTTTTATCTCACAATTGCGAGTTTACATAAACTCGCAATTCTGATTTTATATCTTGCGTGTTATAAAGTCAGAATTGCAAGATACAAAGTCGCAATTGCGAGAAAAAAAGTTTATTTCTCACAATTCTGACTTTATAACATGCAATTACGACTTTATATCACACGATGTAAACTCGCAATTGTGAGATGGAAAGTTGCAATTACCTTTTCTTTTTTTTCATTCTGTGGCGGAAACAAGTTTCCATACAAGTTCACCCTTAGTCAGACTTAAAATGTCACTGCATTAGTTAAAATATAAAACGAAGTGGCATTTACTTGAAAATAAAAAGAGTGCAAGCACACATTAAAAGAACAAAAACATTGCACACACAGTTCTAAACCACTTTCTGGTTATCAAATGTTAGATTGTACATCAAATAATGTGCATTACAAACACTTCTGGAACAAGAACACATGTGGGCGGGGCTTGATTGTGTCTGTGGGGAATTGATTGGATGGTTGTGGTCTGCTATTGGCTGATCTCATGTGAGTGACAGGTTATAGCCCCGCCCACATCATCAGAGAAGAGAGTTACTCTGATTCAAGATTAACATCAATTGAATGTCTTGCACAGAGAAAATAATAATAATTAATAATATTCCATTTAAAAATAAGAAATGTCAATTTTGATATCTCAGTGACTTGGTCATTTTGATTTCATGTTAACCCTGTCCACCTCACCTGAGCTGTGTGTGTGTATTTTCCATGAAGTCAGCATGGTTGTGTTGGCGTCTGGTTGTGTTTATGATTTGCTTTGGCAGAGTCAGGGTTTTCCCAGTGTGTGTGTGTGTGTGTGTGGTTCTGCATTAGCTCTTATGGCCAGCGGGTCACATTTAAAATCATAATGGCTTTTCCGCTCAGTCCTCCTGCTGGGAGAAACCTCTCAAACTCGACGTTTCTCATGATCATATACGCTTTAAAGACGCTCACCTCGTTTCCTTGCATGTCTTGTTTTCAGAGCGGCTTCTGACACACACTGTCATTATAATTGTGCTTCTGTCACAGCGCTGTTGTTAGCCTGGAGCCGGAGGGGGAAAGGCCTTGTTGATTGTTTTAATACATAAGACACATTCAGCAGAGACAAAGACATTTCTAACACATG